CACTAAGATCGCCCTACCCCGGAACCTGATCAACAGGCTTGAGCTCTACCTCCACGAGACCTACGAGGAGTTCTCCTACGAGGATTTCTCGTCGATCCCCGGCCACATTGACCGGATTTTCGCGTAGGTGCACTGGGACTTTGGAGTGGAGCGTCTTGGGCCTGGGAATCATGTAGTAACGGACATTGTGAAATTTTTTTAAAATACTTGGGACTAAATTGAGAAGAGCCTAAGACAGAGAAATCATGCAAAACCCATTTGTTACCTTTGTAAATATTCCTGTTTTGTACCTGATTATTTTTTTACTAGTTTACAGCACTTTTATAAATATACATTGTTAATAGTATAAATATTACCGTTCTGTTTTAAATAAATGTTTACATGTTTACAGCACTTACTGCTTGATCCGTCCCCTGATTCTGTGTCCGGGGTAAGGGATGGGGACGGTTGGTACGGGATCTCGGTAAGGGTGATGAAGAGCTCCTGGCTGTCGGGGAAATCAGCGGTGCCAGCGCTGTCGACTGCCTCGTCCTCCTCATCTCCTTCCTCCTCTTCCCCGTCCGCTGTCATGTCCGACATGATCCCATCCTCGGAGTCCACGGTCAGGGGTGGGGTAGTGGTGGCGGCCGCTCCCAGGATGGAATGCAGTGCCTCGTAGAAACGGGATGTGTGGGGCTGGGATCCGGAGCGTCCGTTAGCCTCTTTGGTTTTTTGGTAGCCTTGTCTCAGCTCCTTGATTTTCACGCGGCACTGCGTTGCATCCCGGCTGTAGCCTCTCTCTGCCATGGCTTTGGAGATCTTCTCGTAGATCTTAGCATTCCTTCTTTTGGAGCGCAGCTCTGAAAGCACGGACTCATCGCCCCACACTGCGATGAGATCCAAGACTTCCCGATCAGTCCATGCTGGGGCCCTCTTTCTATTGGATTGCACGGCCATCTCTGCTGGAGAGCTCTGCATAGTTGCCACTGCTGCTGAGCTCCCCTCGATGTCCAAAGAGGAACTGAGATTCAAACTGCCCAGACAGGAAAATGAAAATGAATTCAAATTTTCCCGGGGGTGTGGCTGGTCAGAGCATCCGAGCTCGGACTGCTGTCCAGAGCGTCAACAGAGTGGTGCACTGTGGGATAGCTCCCGGAGCTATTACCGTCGATTTCCATCCACACCTAGCCTAATTCGATATGGCCATGTCGAATTTAGCGCTACTCCTCTCGTTGGGGAGGATTACAGAAATCGATTTAAAGAGAGCTTTATGTCGAACTAAATGGCTTCCTGGTGTGGACGGGTGCAGGGTTAATTCGATATAACGGCGCTAAAGTCGACATAAAAGCCTAGTGTAGACCAGGCCTCAGAAACTTCCCCAGCAGCCAATACACACACACACACACACACTCTGTGTCACACACCTCCCAACACTGTTGTTGTTGTTCTTGGTACTTCCTGCAATGCACATATATTCTCTGTAATTTTATTCTTTCAAAGTGTTGTTATTTGAGTTTTTTGACTGGTCTATGCATTTCATAATTTTTATTTCTCTCTTACACTTAAATTTAATTCTTTGAGTAGTGAGTTCTAAAATGCCTAACTTGTCCTGGCTGGAGTAATTATCCCTATTGATAACTTTTTAAAAATATATATTATATCTAGGTTTTTTGCTTCCACTGGTGGCGCACATCTGCACATTACTTTGGTGCACATAACAAAATTAATTCCACACATGGGTGGAAAAAATTAGAGGAAACATTGGCTCCCACCCTTGAGTGTTTCCTGAAATTTAGTGAAATTTCCTTTGCTCAGTGTCATCCCATTGCTCCTATTCATACCCTCCTGGAAAGCCTCATCCCCAAAGTTTTCCTCTCCCCCACCCCTCTTTACATATTCTTTGACAGTTGTCACTTTTGACATGGTCATTTAAGCAACCTACTATGACTGACATTAAAAACACAGCATTTGCTGACAGTGCTCACAATGGGACATTGGCGATTATTTATTATTTTTATTCCAGTAGCTCCTATCTAGCACTAGGCACTGTTCAAATACACACAGATCTGAGCTGTTGCAGTATTCCCATATATTTAGAATAGGAGAAGACAGTGTGATCCACTCATTGGCATGTATTATGATTCTCCTTCTATGTCTGATCAGCAGAAAAGTCATCTTCTACTGCTCCAAGCTAATGGATTTAGTCCTGTAGCTCAAGAGGTAGCGCTCCACGCTGCAGTGCTGAAGGTCCTGGGTTCCAACACAGCTTATTGGCCCATGATAGGAGTTCTTACATCCCCACAATCTCCTACTACAGGAAGTGCTGTATGCGTATTGAGCTCTTTTAATGGTTGCTCATAACTCAGGCCCATCAGCCTCCTGATCATTTGTGCTGCTCTTTGAGAACCCTGTTTATTTCTGTTTCTCAGGTGCATGGGGCTTTAAGAAGCTATTCTAGGTGGGGTCACATTAAGGCCACCTAGAGAAGGACTACTCCCTCCCTGCACCATGACATGATGCGGCTGCATATTCAACTCAGTATTACTGTTTTTTTTCCCCCTCCCTACCACATCCCATTGCAAATTCCTGTCTAATTTGCTGGCCACTCTCACCCTTAATCTCTTTAGCCTTTGCTGTTTGTCAGATTTCTCCCTGCAATATCACTATTTTTGGTGGGGTTTCCCTCCCAAATCTGTATTGATCCAGGTTGAACCTCATTTCATTACTTTCTGCCCCTGCTCCCACCCATGACAGTTCTGCAAATGAATTCTACAGCAGCAAGATTGGGCCCTAGGTCCGTTTGGATCATTTCTTTGAATCTCTCCGGAGTTCAGGTTCATTATCTGCTTCGAGTCCATTTTAGCTGCAGGTTTCCAGGCATCATGCTGTTGTCTCTGGGTTCCTAACCCACCAAGGTAATATTTCAATATTCCATCTCCCACTCCCACCCTCTTACCAAAATCCCAATTTTCAATTCAACATTTTGTTTTTAAAATGTGGTGAACATATTTCTACGCATGGACTAACTTCATCCGTGGTGTAAGCCCACGGCCTTCTACAGGCTCCACCAAGGAGGCCTTCAGCAGATTAGGCTTCTCAAAACCCTTTTTGTTTTTAACTACCTTGACTCAGTTGCCTATAACTAATGGACTCAAGCAACTACCTCTGACCTCATTATGATCCACCCTTACCAGCGCCTTTCTTTTTCCCCATTTTTCTTCCCTTATCTCTATCTGATTCTTTCTTCTCTGTCTCTTTTAATACCCTTTTCTCTCTCTCTTTAGCATTCCTATTTGCTTCCTCTGTCTCTTTAAAATTAAAGATCACCCCGACACTGCCCATGTGAGTGAAGTGAATGCTAAGAGGAAAGGCTGCTGCTGAGAGGGGGATTCGAGCTGCCTCGCTGGGAATCAATGAGGCATGGAAAGCTCATCTAACTCCTGAAACGCTGAAAGAAACCAGGGCGGATCAGTGGCAGCTGAAAATGCATTTAAGAGAGAAGAAAAGGCCCCGTCACCGAGCGCCCCATTCAGCTACAGAGAGAAGCAGCGCGTGCCGAGCCAGAGGCGGCTGCTTTTGTGTTTTAATACTGTCTAATCCCAGCCCAGCTTCCCTCTCCACCCACCACAGGGGAAGGCTGGCTGAACCTCTACTCTAGGGAGAAGCTGGAGGATGGGTACTGCAGGGAGTGGTTACACTGGCCTGTTTCTCTCCCTCCATCTATTTGCTGTGCTATGAATCCAGCTGGTACTAACCATGCGATGAAGCTGGGGGCGGGGGGGTGTTGGTCTCACACACAGGCAATATGAAGGCTGGTCATAAGCTGACATTAACTCTGCAATTGAACTATGGGGAAATGCTCACTGTCATTCATGAATATCCAACCCCCTTATCTAATCCCTCATGTCATTGATGAATAGCCACCCCTACAACTTACACAGAGCCAGACCCATCCCAACCCCCTACATATCCACCCAGAACACCCCCCTACAGACTCCCAGGTACACACACCTAGCCATACTACCCACACCGCCAGGCACACTCTCCCCAATACATTCCCAGACACGTAGCCATAACATAAAGTACCTGACATGCACCCCTTGCTCCCACACTACCCAACCCTCCCCCAGCAACCCTGACCCATTTACCCCCACCAACATTCCCTACCATTACCAGGCATAAAGCTGCCCCTCCTCCCCACATACCACTCCCATCCCCACTGCTCCGCTTCATACCCACACTCCCTACGGCCTACTCCCTACATCCGAGGCGCTCCTCAGCCTGGGGGTAGAGCTGTCACCATGAGGGATGAGTCGAAAAGCCGCAGGATATCATACTTACTTCACTCCCAGGCCCCAAGGGTTAATGGCGCAGCCTCCTTTGCTACTCTGTTGCCTTAGTGTCAGCAGCAAAAGCGATTTATGCTGTTATTAAAGGGACTTATTTATTTTTTTTCATCTGGGGTTAATTAGGGGCTTGTGAAAGTAAAGGGCTGTCAGTGCCAGCTACACATAGTAGAGAACAGCCAGAGGCAGTGCTATCTGCCCACACACAGATCTGCCAATGCACCTCGCTCCTCAACTGCAACACCCCCGCATTCCAATCCTGGGGAACCCCATAGCTCTGCTCATGGCCCTCAATCCTGCCCTCTAGCACCCCTGCTAGTCTCATCCCAGGCCCTTGCACATACAGTTCTGCTGATGTCCCTCATTCCTGCCCGGCAACCCTCTCCCCCTCCCCTGTAATTCTCACAAGACTTTGCCAGCCATGCCCAGCAATGTGTGGGAAATACCACACTTGCGCCAGAGCTAGGATAAGATGACTCCCACAGCTGTCTCTCGTGTAATCTAAGTCTTCCAAAGCACAAGGCCAGTGTCCTGAACTCCCTTGTCATGTTTCCATCTATGAAGGAAAATCACCAAGCAGCTCATTGCTCCTGTTTCCCTCTGGCTAGCTGCCCAGAGCTGCCATGCTGCAGCTGGTTTGCCTGGCAGGCCAGTGAGGGCTGCAATGTCTCCTACCTCTTTGCCCAGGTCCTCCCGGATCACTTGTTCAATCTCCTGCATGCTGCTCTGTGGGGCCTGGCTGTGTAGTACCTTCAGGGTGCGAGTGTATTCCTCAGGCAGAAGGTAGTCGAGTGCCCCCAGATGCTGTCCCACTTTGATGAAGGTGCCTCTGTTGGCACAGCACAGGTCCCGGAGGCGTTCCGCAGAGCGCAGATGCACCTGCAGAGAGATCAAAACATCAGCCAAGCCCCTTTCTCCAACTCTTTGCTCCTTATTCCTCCCTCCACCTTTGCTCCCCCTCCTCCCCACACGCACGCACACACACTTTTACTTCCTTAGGTTTCAAATGCAGTTGCTTTTTTTTCTTTCTTCCTTGGAGGTGCACCTGCATCACCTATTGTCAGCTAAACTCTGGGAATGTGTTTTGTTGATGAACAGGAACTGACACAGAGCCACAGGAGGCGTGCCACAGCATAAAGCAAAAGTCAGGACCATTGCTCCCGTTTAAAACACACATGCGTGGCTCTGTTCTCAGTGCGAGTGCAGTGGAGTAAAGTGGGGGAGGGAGGAGAGGGAAGACAGATGCCATCCTGAGGGTGTCAGCACAGAAACTTCCTCGGGGGAAGACATTCTATTTAAAGACACAGCAAAACAAAAACAAAAAGTATTTTCTGTCAATTTAGCAGGGGTAAATGGTGCTGATGGGCAGCTCCTCGGCAACAGGATCCTATTTACCAACAGAATAGCTACAACCTGTGCAGTGGCAGAGCCAGCTTAGCACTCAGTGCTGTTCCACCAACCTACTCTGCCCTCCCCCATGCGCTGGGATAGGACGCTCTCCAGGGCCCATTCGGTCCTTGCCTCTCTGCTCGGACAGCCACCAGGGGCCTATTCATGCCAATTGAAGTGTGGTTTCAGTGAAGTGAACACTAGGAATTAGGAGACCTCTCAAATTCATTTCACACTGGCCAACAAGCAGCCATCAAACTACAACTGTAGACGGCTACAACACCACCACAAACAAGTGTAAACGTCCACTGGCCAGGTCTGGATTTCAACCGGTGACCCTGAATCTGTATCACAAAAGTGTACCAGTCACCTGACCCTTTAATAGCAATGATTTATTCTGCCTTATACTATTACTAGGAACACTCCCTGTCTGGGGCACAGGCACACTCAACATTCAGGAAAGTAATAAACTGTGACTGACTTTATCCTGCTACATTATTAGAATTCCAGCAAATTTACAAGTAAAAAGACTCATGCAGATAGCAGAAAAGTATAGAAATGGATGGAAGTGGTTAATACCTCACGGCATCAGGTATCAGCAGTCAGTCAAATCCCAAACAGAAAAAGCAATTCTGGAGTGAGCTCCCTTTTTCAGTGACATTGCCACAAACATCAGCTCCTAGCAGTTCACACCCAGTCACTCAGATATTCAGAATACCCAGAGAAATGACCAGCAAAAAACTAGCATTGGTGTAACTTTCAAAAGTTTAAAACAAAAAACAAAAACAAGCACTAAAAAGGTAGGAAATACAGAGCTCAGGTTGCAAGCTCAGCCTTTACTCTGCTCACTACCCCACTGCTTATGTTTTAACATATAGGCTATGTCTGCACTGCAGCTGGGAAGTGTAATTCCCAGCTCGGGTAGACTTACACATGCTAGCTGTGATCGGGCTCGTGTGCTAAAAATAGCAGTGTGGCCACAGTGGCAGAAGTAGTAGCTTAGACTTGTACCTAGGATCTCAGACAGGATTGCACTCAGGCAGCTAGCCCAAGCCACTGTCATTACCACCAGAGCCACACTGCTATTGTTAGCCCACTAGCTAAAATCAGAGCTAATATGTAAATATCTACCCGAGCTGGGAATTACACCTCCCAGCTGCAGTGTAGACATACCCTATATATTAAAACATAAGCAATGTGGTATTGGGCAGAGTTAAGGCTGAGCTTTCAACCTAAACTCTGCATGTCCTAACTTTTAAGTGCTTGGGTTGAATACTCTTCTTATAGCATTATGAATTATTGATCAATGAATACAACAATGTGGGATTTTACATCCAGTCTCACATCCAGTAAGTTGCAATACAGGACATTCAGTCCTCAGACTTGGCTCTCAGTCTTCAACAGTTTTCAAGTACATAAAAGGTTGTTACAAAGAAGAGGGAGAAAAATTGTTCTCTTTAACCTCTGAGGACAGGACAAGAAGCAATGGCCTTAAATTGCAGCAAGGGTGGTTTAGGTTGGACATTAGGAAAAACTTCCTAATTATCAGGGTGGTTAAGCACTGGAATAAATTGCCTAGGGAGGTTATGGAATCTCTGTCATTGGAAATTTTTAAGAGCAAGTTAGACAAATACCTATTAGGGATGGTCTAGATAATCCTTAGCCCTGCCATGAGTGCAGGAGACTGGACTAGAAGACCTCTTGAGGTCCCTTCCAGTCCTACGATTCTATGATTCAAGGTGCTCCATGGCCCAGGCCCAGCATATGTAAAAGATCACATAAAGCTCCAGAGTGAAGACCATTGCTGAACAACTCCACTTCTCTGGCACAGTGGAACTCTTGACTATAAAGCTTGTCTGTGCTGGAGATGGAGTTTTCTCAGGGGCTGCTCAGAGGCTGTGGAACTACAGACCATCACAAGCCTCACCACCTTCTGCTTCAAGTGCAAGACATATTTCTTTGACCAGCCTTCTCCCATTTAAACATAGAGCAGTGTCTACATTAAAAAAAAACAACCCTCAGATTCAAACCCAAACCCTACATTGCACACACAATTCTCTTGTGAGGCTGAGAGAGAATGAACCATACATGACAGAGGTTAGTCGTGTTGCTTAATGCACTACTGGAAAGCGCTCTGAAGCTATGGTAATTATTGCGGTATAAGAACCTGTGTAGAACAGAATAGTGGAACAGGGAGACCTCCCTGTGATCCTAAGAGCCCCTCAATGCCAACTCCAAACAAGTCAAGCTTGAAAACTGGGTCCAGTGTCTCACTCAGGGAGTACAAATTTGGAGCCTAACTCCTCAGTATCCTGAAAGAGCACTAGGGTCCCTTTAGACAAAGCAGGGTACATCCTCCAGCTCCTTGCCAGCAGGTGAGGGGACTCTGACAAAAGTATTCCTGGAGGGGGCTCAAGAAGTTAAACATCCTTGGGGGAGGTTGCAGTAGAGGACATCAACCATTTAACACCCCAGGACAGATCAGTGCAGGCAGCATTTTGGCAAAATGAGTTTCCACTCTTTGAAAATAACTAGCATGCGCTAACACACAGACACCCTCAACAGGATGGACTGCTGTAAATGCTTTGTCCCTGAGCTCCAATCCCTCCACTGGTGTCCAGTCCACTTCCCGTACCAGTTCAACACCTGGTCCTGATCTTCCCAGCTCTCACGCAGCTACGTCAGTGATAGCATCTCTCCTTTGGGACAATGCACCTTACCAAGGCCAGAAGAAGCATGCAGGAGTCAGAGACAAATCTCTCTGAATCAAGGGGATTCAGCTGTGAAACGAGCTGCTAGAGAAGGTCAAACCAATCCAGAGTCTGACCCTTTCAGGGCACCCTACAAAACCCTCTTCTATGACAAAGCATTTCTCACTATAAACAACAATACCTTAAAAGAAGGGGAATGGAGCAGAGCAGAAAACTCAGGAGATACATGAGGGATATTGTATGCAGACGTCATTGACCTATGAATCACATAGATACTAAGGTGTTGGGCACTCCAGAAAACCCAAAATAGATCAGACAGGTAGATGGATGTGTCAACACACACACATAAGCTTACATGTGCGCACGCAGACGCACACACCTTTGCGAGTGTAACCCATACTACAAAAGTGCACACACCCGCCACAGCTCAAAAGTGCACTCAGATTTACATACACAAAATGCTGCCTTCATGTTGTCTGGGCTGCAGTCACAGGTAAGAGTGTGCTGCATTTTATTGGACTCCTTTGATTTTTTTGTTGTGGCAACTAGGTTCTTGACCTGGCTGTTCCCCCTGCCTCTGCCTTGTGTGTATGTGTATGGGGAGAGATGGGGGAGACAGGCAGAGAAAGGGAGTGAGGAACGGAAGGAATGAAAGAGAAAGAAACAGCAAAAGAGGGAGAGAGGGAGTAATAGGGATGAAAGAGAAAGGGGCCAGGAGGGAGCCAGAGCAGCTGGGCAGTTTGTCACAGTACACGGAGTTCAGCCCATTATAGGAAAACAGCTTTTATGCAGCTTGGATAATTGTCCTCAACACACTGTCTCCAGCAGAGGAGAAAAAAATCCAGCAGCCAGTGAAGGCAGCGGGAGGCAATTGCTGTCTATAGCTCCCCAGAGTTTGCCTGTATTCCAGGGGAGAGGAAGGACAGGCTGGGGGCAGCCGGTTTGAATTAAACACGTCCAGCCCCACTTGTGTTCTAGGATCTCTGATGTGGGAAGAAGGTCAGGCCAGAGCCCTGTGAGCTCCCAGAGACAAAATGGGAACCAAATATGCTGCCCCCACACAGCTCGTAGTCCTGCCAGGCGAGAGAGCCAAACCAAAGTTTCCCGCGTGGCTTACTGCAGGGACTGACACAAGGCACTAGGCATCAAACCCAGGTCTCCTGCATGGCACTGCAGAGCATCATGTATCAGGCTGGCCTGGAAAGGGAGAGACTGGAGCTAGGGACTGAACCCCAGTCTCTTGTATAGCAAGGCAGGGCTCTCGTCTCTTCACCATCACTAAGCACTAGGCAGGCCAGGGGGGTGAGGGATTGGCGCTGCGAATGGAATCCAAGTCTTCTGTGTAGCAGGACAGGGAACTAGCACTAGGCTGGCACAGGAAGCACAGGACTGAGGCTGGGAGTCATTTACTCACAGAAAGCTCCCCAGCCTAGAGGCAAAAGAACGGGAGAATCTGTTCCTGACTGATGTTCTAGCCCCGAAACCCCCTCTCTTGCACCGTTGCCCACACAGATCACCAGGGTCCCTGCTGTGGAGGCAAAGACAGCCCACCTCTCCTCTGCCCCAGAGACAGCAAAGGCATGCCCTGCGGAACTTTGCCACCCCTTAGGAAACTCCAAATACCTCCAGCACACACCACCTTGCACTGTGAGGAGTTATCATCCTACTGCTCAGAGAAAGGCACCCACATCTAGGAGGGGCTCTCAGGACAGCAGGAGCAGCAGCAGAAAAACAAAAACAAAACAATGCTCTCCTCCTTCCACAAATTTGGCCCATTTA